AAAAAAAGTAGATAGATCACATTAGATTCTTTTTCTTTTTTGACTGAAAACATAATGGTATTCAATCTTTAATAATTGACGGCAAAATGAAACACGTTAGGTTAATGTGAAAGGCCTAAAGTTCCACACCAAGAAGGGGGTTGGAATTAAGTTGGAACGTGAAAAATTAATAAATTCTTCACACAGTCAAAGGAAAAGACGAGGAAGCTCCAAGTGTTGGATTTTTATAAATAGTACTCAGGATACAAATTTTTTTTTAAAAAAAAGTAGATAGATCACATTAGATTCTTTTTCTTTTTTGACTGAAAACATAATGGTATTCAATCTTTAATAATTGAAGGCAAAATGAAACATGTTAGGTTAATGTGAAAGGCCTTAAGTTCTACACCAAGAAAGGGGTTGGAATTAAGTTGTAACATGGAAAATTAATAAATTCTTCACATGGTCAAAGGAAAAGATGAAGAAGCTTCAAGCGTTGGATTTTTATAAATAGTACTTAGGATACAAATTTTTTTTTTTTAAAAAAAAACCTTGATAATTTGAAATTTCTTTTAATATGTAATTTTTATTAACTATATATTTGGATGGAGGAGAGGAGAACGATTTTTTTTATTAATCAGCTCAAACATAATATAAATAATCTTTTATATAAAATTTATTATTATTATTTATATTTTATAAAAAAAATTATCACTTAAAAATACATATAGTAACAAGTAATATGCACCAAAAATAGTATTATTATTATATTATGAATTCTGTAATTTACACATATTTTGTAATTAGTTATTGTAACAGTATTTTTGGGCTTGATCCGATAACTGACCCGTTTTGACCACCAGATTTGGTTCAACTGATTGAATCGATTCACTCGATCAACTCAATCGGTCAACTAAAAAAAACCCTTTTTTGATATTTTTATTAAATTTTATTCTTGTATATTGTTTTTACTCTATTTTTAAAAAATAATCATCATAAAATCAATTTAAAAATCATCATTTAAAGAATTTAAAATAATAAATTTAATTAAATACATATAAGTCGATTACTTTGACTCTTGATATGCTTTTCTTTTTTTTTGAAGTTCATACATCAATTTGAGAGAAAATAAACTTTCTAAACCAAAATGATAATAAACCTATAACTAATAGACTAAATGTTAAATTTAGGCTATTTCACTTTGCACAATAACCCAAAATTGCCTATTTCTAACACGTGCATCTACCACCACCAGTCATCCCCACACTCCTCAACTATTTTGATCATTGTTGTCAAAATCTAGATTTAAATCTTAAAATCTTACGATTTTACGATTTCAGTAAGACATGTTGTGTAAAATCTATAATAAAATCTAAAATTCATAAAATCTGGGAATTTCACGGTGAAATCTAGATTTTACCTTCTATTTGGCAGCTGGACTTTTTGCTTATTTCCTTTTGGGTTTCTCATCTTGAGTTAGTAAGTTTTAATTAAATAACCCATAAATTAAGCTCATTTTTCATTTTAAAAGCCCACAACCCACACAACCCAACCACAAATCAACATTTTAATC